TATTCTGATGAGATAAAATCTTCCCATAGTGCATAGGCACCTTAAATCAGCATACAATTTCCAGAGAGTAAAGAAAAATCCTGTAACTTCTTTGTAATTACACATTGAATATGCCATTATTTTCTTGTATCAGAAATTTAACATCTATTTCACTTTTCCATATGTAACTATCATAGACAATTTTTCAATTAATAGCTTCACAAATAAACTTTAGTTACATTAGTTTAATGGGAATTTGCAGGCAATGATTTTTCTGTTGGATTTTCCTATGGGACACAACCATGTTTTGGAACATGGATTGTATTTGAAAATCATTTATAAATGCCTATACAGATTGTGACATATACTTTCTATGTATTTTCAGACTAGCTAAGGCCCACAACCTGGAGTAAATTCTATTAGGATCAATAGCAGGAGCTAATAAATAAATACATACAAAATTTAAAAACAACAATACCAGACATAATTCATTAGTGGAAGCTTGCAATACTGAATGACTGTTAAACCCTAACACCTATAATTGCACAGTTGAAACCACCTACTATTGAAATCTTTAATAGAAAGAAGACCATGAGAAGTGATAGTGCAAAGCTGGGCCTGCAAAATTTGTAAAGGGATCTTGCTCAATGCAGTTCAGTACAGAAGTAGGTTTTCCTGGAAGAGCAGCCAAAAACATCATGTCACCAGTTATAAATGCAATCATGCAGGGTATGGCTTAAAGGAAGGAAAGTGTCTCTTTCAGCCATATGGTGAATACTTCCTTCAAAGCCCCTGTTCAAATGCCACCTCATCGGTGAAGCCTGTGCAAACCCCCCAGGAAGAGTTTAATTGCTCATTGCTCCCAGAGCATTGATTTCATTGAGCTCTTTTGGTATTTATCTCACAGCATCCTAGTTTTTAGTATACTCATCTTTCTTCTACTCTAAATTGAAAGTCCCCTAAGAACAAGCAGAGGTATAAGATTAAGGAGTGGGCAACTGGAAACCTGCGAAGGCACCAATTTTTGAGGAATGCTAACTTGTCCCCAGAAATGTAATTTTCTGAAGGCAACTCCATCCCTTATAAAGGTCTTTGATTTTATTCGGGTCAATTCAGTAAGAGTTAACTTGCTCAGGACCCCAGAGGAGAGGCTACTGAGTCCAGAGTGTCATGTCTGCCCCCATCCCCAACCCCCACCCACCTTTACAGCTAGCAGTAAGCCTCTCTCTGAATAAAGATTGCTTCCTCTACATAAAGGCTTCTCAACCTTGGCACTATTGCCATTTTGGACTGAATAATTCTTTGCTGAAGAGGACTGTTCTGTTCACTGTCCAATGTTTACCAGCATCCTTGGCCTCTACTGACCAGGTGCCAGTAGTATCCTCTATTTGTGACAACTAAAAATATCCCCAGAATTGCCAAATATCTCCTGGGGACAAAGTCTCCCCAGTTGAGAAGCATCATTTTAAATAAATAGTTAACCAACTTATTTAAAGATTGTAAGCTTAAGGAAGCTTAAATCATTGGTCTACCTGGATTGCCCCATGCCTCAGCCTCGCACGAGGCAGTGACTCTTTCTATAACATTCGTCTTCCTGTTTTCCCTGTAACTGGAAGCATCCCTGGTATACAGCAGGCCCTATAAGTGTTTTGTGAATGAATGAATCAACAAATAAGTAAACTGTATAGAAATAACTATTAACTAAGTTACTGCCTGGAACAATACAGGAGGCTTTATTAACAACTGCAGCAGCACTAGTTATTTAAGTTAAGAATCTGCTATGATTCAAAGGTGAACACCAGAGATCATGAACTAAGCCATTGAGTCAGGAGTCTGGGAGCACACATAGATATTACTGAAATAAAATAAAATTGGAATTTGAGTTATGCATGAAAATCACTTAATCAGTGCAAAGGGTTAAGTATAAGAAAGACAACAAGAAATAAAGGCTCAAATCAGACAAAGGACACAGAGGACAAATTAAAGTTTCTACAAATGTAAAGAAAAATAGAATGCAGTTTTTAAAGAGGTTCAGACTTTGGGAAGGTTAGTTCTGTGTTTATAAATTCAGTTAGAACTAAATTAGCTATGCAAAGATGGCTCATTGTACCATAAAATATCATCTTCTTTGTGCCTGCTCAATGACTTATCAGTGAATTTGCCCAGAAGGGCTGTGATGCTGTTCTGGGAACAAATGACATCAGTCTGCCTGGATATTTCAACTGCCAGAGATAACAACTGTGAGTTAAGCATCCCAAACTCTGTCCGAGTACATAAGCACAGCAGCTAAAGAAGTTAAAAAAGAGGTGTTATAATTCAAGGGAAAAAGCTTATGAATTGATTCCAGACCTGAAAAGGTTTGGCAATTTCATACACTGTCCATTTTCCTCCCAAGTTTTCTCAGGATTTTCCCATCCAAACTTCTAAAGCAAAACAAAATATGACCAG